CCCCCTTTCCTTCTTTGGGATCCTGACTCTTTAAACCTATACAGCTGGCTCCTTACTGCTGTCTTTCAGACACAACCTTAATTTTAGGGTAGGTAAGATCTAACACCTAGCCTTCTCGCATAAGGGCTGAACATCTCGGAGGTCCCGTGTGCAGGTTGCCACATTAAAAATTCCTTGGTGGTCCTGAAATCGATAAGTGTAGGCTTCGGCCGCCACCCGTGCAAAATTCAAAATTAATTCCTACCAAACTGAAAAAGCTCAATATGTGCTGTGCGCTCATAATATGACAGTATGCAGTTGTAAATGCCGTAAAGCACTTACCAAAACAAAGGATCCTTTGGCCTCATGCACACTTAGAACATTTACTAGCCTCTTTAGCGTAGTGGTTAGGCGCTTCCTTGTCGCACACAGGATACCTGGGTTCGATTCTCGAGTGGGGAGATGATTTTCATCAAGTATCTGGATCTTTTTGTTGGGATGTTGTAATCCTCTTAGCCCGGACTGGCCTTGACAAACGGTGTGGGAAGCCAGGCTCATAATGTTCTTTATTTGTGTCAAATGGGGCGTGAAAACAGTTTCATGATGATGATGATGATGATGACGACGACGACGGTGATAATGATGATGATGATGATGATGATGATGATGATGATGATGATGATGATGATGATGATGATGATGATGATGATGATGATGATGTTCGAGTAAAGAGAAACACATCGTAACAATAATGGTAATTTAGTGCTAGGAAAAAGTAAGACAAACAGAAACAAAAGAAGGTAAAGAAATGTGGAGCCCTCCAACCACCCACATTAATAGTAAAATAATATAATAGTTTCACTTCATATTTCTATTACTGTAACATTGTACAAGAGCTGCATGTTTACAAGCTTCAATTTGCACATTTGCACTTTTCCCCATTTTGTTCAATTATGAGTTAATCCTTCCAGCTAAGCGTGGAACTGGCTATTCAAGTGGTCTGGGTAAATTTCCAACTTAAAATAATAATAACAATAAAAATAATAAAACATAGTATTTTGCATAATAGTTTATGTATGATATTTATGAGAAAATAGTCACGCAGTGAGCATAGCAATGCGTTCGCTAAAAATATAGAAAGCAATAAAAACTTACGAACGGTCGCAATAAAATTGAAACTTGAATAACTATAAGCATTCATTAAAACATTCGTTTTCCATCAAAAGAAAAACATTTCCGTTCTCTCTCTCTCTCTCTCTCTCTCTCTCTCTCTCTCT